ACATATGTGTACAAAAATATTCAAATAGTTGTCCAAGAGGAACAGACAGGTATATGCAACAAATTTTGTATAATACAATCGAATATAGGATTATGCGCATGCATGACGTCGTCATAAAGTATGCTGCCGTGTCCCCTCCTCTCTCGTACAAATGTCATGGACCCAGTGCCCGACGTTTCATTGGGGTGACACCAAAATGACTGAGAGCCATTTTGGTGTCACCCAGTGTAGGCCTCACCCCCTTGTGACACCACTGGATATAGACAGATAAAAGGGGAAGAGAAAAAAAAGATCTAGGACAACATATCTAAACTGCAAAGTGAGCTGAATTTTAGAATTTGTGCAAATCCGCTATATTCTGTGGTTTTGCCTCTTTTTTGAAGTGTTCTTGTGACATTTTAATGCTTGGGACTAACTGCACAGGTTTTGTGACATTTCATATCATTTCTTGACTGCACAGTAATTGCGTCAAGCATTTGCAACAATAAAAACCTTCCAAACTGTAGCACATTCTAGAAGTGCTCCTGGGCACATGTTAAAATATCACAAAGATAATTCAACTTCATATCCTCAAGCCAGATGAGCACTTCAGGGCTATTCAGATGTCCTCCAGGAGGTTCCCAGCAAGCTTGCGACAATTTAGAGAAAATTCTCCTTACAGAGGCATTTAGGAAAGAAACGTGAACTAGGATAATAAATCTGTCACTAATGCACTAGAAATCAGGGATGTGACAGTTTAATAGATGCTAATGATGCAACCAAATTGATACATTTCCCCTATTGTTTTTGGGGGGGACAAACTAAACTATCTTTTGGCAATATTGTCTTGCAAAAATTATTTTATTTATATATATGTAATCTATAGACAAAGATATGTAAGAAAAAAAAAATGTGTTTACTTCCATTTTGATCAGTGTTTGCTTTTTCTTTTTTTTTTAAGTTTTTTTTGTAAATGAACGATACATTTTATTCTAAAAGTTTTCCTGCGCAAATTGAGATTATAATGAGGTTTCTGATAGAAAGCATGGCAAAGTTTTTTGCAAATAAAAAGGTGCTTTTTTCAACTTTGTGCATTTTTTTTAGCTAAGGGGAGGAAGTATATTAGGGATGCTTGAGGTTAACTAAGTAAAGGGTAATAAGAGGTTAAACTGGAATACATTTAAAGAAAAAAATTTTTGTTACATGTAAGATTTCCTTAACTGATGTTGTGACGCATTGCACCAGCCTCAGATTTTCCAGCTTGCTGGACAACAGTCTAAGTGACAACAGACACTGAGAGTGGACGTCACTGAGGCAGGTTCACGTCACAGTTAACTCGTTACACACATACATTTTACACAACATGCACTGTTCACAGCATCTGCTATTGCAATTCTGACCTTTTAGGCTATAATTACACTAGCCCACCTGCACTAGCCCACTGGGTGGTAGTGTGATGGGCTGTTTCAGTGGATCAAACTGTTTACTTTTTTACTTTATTTGGAGTGTACAATGTATATACTCCATTCAGGTCTCTGCACTGAATCGCAGAGTGCTGGCAACCTGCGGTGCCATCCAGCGCGCTGGAGAAAAATGCAGTGCATTGCACATCACACCCATGTTGCGGTGTGAGCTGGACACATAGAAGACAATCGCCATGCCTAGACAGGGATGTAACAATATGGTGGCTACAGTTGCTCAGAATTTGCCTCTCATTTTGTTGGCGTAGGTTACAAATCACTGTGGGTAACATACTCACCTTTTTCCATAATTGTTTAAAAGGAGAACTATGGGGTCAGTGTTTTTCCCCATAGTTCTCCTTAGGGTAGCGGGAGGACACAAACTAGCGTCCTCCCATTACCCTAAGCTCAGTATACCGCGAGCTACAGCTCGCGGTATACTGAGACGCCGCAGCTGGAGCGGATCCCGACTTAGACGATGGGATCCGCCCAGCTGCGTGAGTGACAGCTGGCTCTGCCTATCTAGAGGCAGAGCCAGCTGTACCCGCCCCCTCCCCCATCCGTTCCGCCAGTCAGCGCTGGCAGATCAGAGCGGGGAGAGGGGAATCTAGCCCCTCCCCCTGTCACGGCAGAGAGCTGTGACAGGATCGAGAGGTGAGTGAACTCGGTATGTGTTCGCTCACCTCCCAATCTACTGAGCCGACCTGTGACAGTCTCATTGTCACAGGTCGGCTAGAACTATGAGGTGAGTGAAAAGCACTCACCTCATAGTTCTCCTTTAAAGGTAGCCCTATATTTGTGTGTACCTAGTTCAGCAGCACCAAGAAGATGTAAATTAGGGTTAAGAGCCCTTTTACACAGGCTTCCTGATCAGGTTCGCTTGTCAGTTTTTCAGGAGGATCTGATTAGAAGCCCAATGTTATTCTATGGGTAGCCAAATCTAAACAGACGGGTGTCTGTTTACATCCATTTACCTCCAGCTCCAGTAAGGTCCAGAAAAACAAACGGATCAGAGATCTATTTTGCCAGACCTGAGCCTGCCAGATCGGGGATAATCTGATGTAAACAGACACAAGTCTGTTTACATCCAATTCCTCATAGACCAACATAAGGCCTATAATTTCAGCTTTTTCTTTCATTGTAAGATGGAGGAAAAAAACTGGATCGACACGTTTGCCACAATGGTGGCATCAATTACGATCAGTCAGTGCATGGATCACCTCTTGATCGGACCGTGTGAAAGGGGCCAAAAACTTGATAAGTGTATCATTAAAAAATTTGCCCAGTAACCGAAACTCATTTTCGAACCCACTTCTGCAAATTGAAATCCGTTCTTTGCAAAATGATGCTTCCAAACAGATTCTGCCACATTCATTCACAAAATCCGTGCTGAATCCTCAAGCCCCTGCAATCTGCCAGTGGTGCAGTTCTGCAAGAATGATTGTGAAGACTTATATACAAAAGCATAATAACCACGAAGAAATTGTTTGAAAGGAGCTGCATTATCCTTAAGTATTGTACTGCTGTAAGAGATGAAGAATACTTGGTAGGCTGCAGCACCAACAGTAAACACCCTTTTTTGGCCAGATACGAAATGTTTCAATTCCTTTTGTATGATCGGTAAAAACGGGTGAAAATATACTTGTTTTGTATATTTAGCAAAAAGGTTTAGCAAATATATAGCAGATCTATACAAAAGTAAATACTTGTACTCATACTAAATAAATAGTGTGATGACCAGGGTTACTAACAATGGATAACCTACATAAAATATTACCAAAAGTACAGTAGATACACATAAACACAGCATATAATATTTCTCAATAATATGGATGTGCACATGCTTAGCAACACACTGAGCAAGTTTTTAGATAGGAAAACATATATTTTATGTGTTTGAAGAATATCTCTCTGAAACACATTTGCTAACCAGTGATAGATGGAAATGAGTAAGTAATAACAAATTCTAACACCTGAATCACATATTTTTTTAAATTGTAATTTAATGCTTTCCATATATTTTTTTTTCCACTTGCAATGTGCCTTTGAACTTGCTTAAAATTTGACTACTCTAGACAAGCCCCTTTCTTGCATATTAGAGCCCTCCCCTCTTCTCTACTGGTTCAGTAAGATGAAAGTGACATTAAAGTAAAAAATCCCTCCCCCCCGCTGCTTTAAAGACTTACCTTAAATGATGCCTCCTGATCCAATCATCTCCTTTTTTTCCAGTAGTTTTCAGGAGTCTCTAAAACGCTGTTGCTCCAGCACTAACTGTTGTGTCTTCCTGTCTCACGGAGTCTGTGCGCGTGAGCATTAACTTACCCCGTGTCTCTCGGCTGAAGATCTTTACTGCGCATGCGCCCGCCCCATGATCCTTCACGGCCACTCAAGAATGTTTCAGATCTTCAGACAAGAGCGGGCGGCGGGGACACAGGTAAGTAATAACCTTTTTGGTGACTTTTTACTTTTTTTTAATGTTTTTGCATATATCTACTGCTTGCTAGCAGTAGATACTGTTTATGCAAAAAAAGGAAGGGTTAATTCTACTTTAACTTCAAATGGGCGTTTAGAATAAAGTAATTTAAAAAAAAATCAGATGTGTTTTGGAGGTGTTGGAAAGCGTTTTCTGAATACCTTTTCTTGGCTGGAGGTAGGGTTTGGAAAACAAGGAAGTGCCTTGCCTTAGCACCGTTGATTTGAATTTAGGCATTTTGCTAGGTTTGGCAATACCTACCAAACTTTGTAATAAAGATTGAAGTCAACTTGAAAATTTTAATGTATACCAGACCATTTGCTTTTGACGTAAAGAACAGGCATTGGTTGTCAAAGTATTTGGAAAGCTTCATAATGTGAAGCAAATGTTTGTTCTTAACGCCAATATAAATGAGACAAAGAAGAGAGGGTAACAGATGAAAGAGTAATCCTATATTTCCACATCCACAATAAATGCCCACATCTTGTAGGAAAGTATCAAAATGTCTCAAACCATCTTTACAAACTTACTAGCTGTGCTTGTGTACATCAATTATTTTTCAATAATTTGCTAATGACAATCAAATAGAAGGCTTAAATTTCAACATAATTTATTATTCTAAAAATATTCAAGTTGGCTTGATATTTACATATATCTCATTTGATATGAGTTTGTGCAGGCACATTTATATCTGCAAGAAAGAAAGCAAAATATGAACAAGCACACCCAATCTTTTTCATTCAACTTACAGAAACCGCCTCCAGGATTTGTTGGACAACACGCGCCGCATCTCTTTCACTGTAAAAGCCACGCTCTACAATCCTAAAATGGAAGACATGGGGATTTATACAAACATAATTCTTTTAAATATACCAATAGGTGCACAAAATGACACAGCCTGGGGATAAAGGGTCTATGCAGCGGAACATTTTTTTAGTTCTTGGATGATTGGAAACAAATTAGAACTCCTGTCAGGTTTTTACGGTTATCTGGAGGTCCATTAGAGAGATTTCACCTTACTATCCAGGTGACAACAGTTTCACTAGACAGGTAGTGAGGGAAAATCTCCAACAGACAGGAATATTTTTCTGGTAGAATACGGAAAGATTAAAACCCCTTTCAGATTTTAAATAGCTTTAGTCATCTTTTGTGTCACAGGAGGACATTTACTAATGTCCCCCTGTGATCCAAATCAGCATCTAGCATGCTACTGCACGCTATTATGCTGACGGTGCAGAGTATTGTCGTGATCCACCCCACTGCCTGATTGAGAGCCAGAGCCAGCTGTGCCCACCCCCTCCCCTGCCTGTCCCTCCAATGAGTGCTGGAAAAATGGAGAGAAAGAAGGGGGAATCCCTGTGGGGAATGGTGTCTGCAGGGAGAAGTCCATGAGCAGAGCGATTAGCGGACCGCTCAGTTCTCAATTTATAGAGCCTCTAACTATTGAGAAGTGTGCATTTTACTCTACTTCTCCTTTAATTGTTGTCTTTTTCCCTGCTGCATATTTCCCCTTACTTCTTGTTTGATGTTGGAAATCTAGTCCCCATTCACACCTAGCCATTTTGTCGCTCAAAGCTAAGCACAATAAAACGCACAAGACAGGGAATTCCATTAATTCTATGGCCCCTGTTCACACCTGAGCTTTTTTTGCAAGCAGATAAATGCCTGTCGCTGGAAAAAGAACATGAGCTACTTTTTGGCAGATTAAAGCTCTTTTTGGCCCCATAGACTTCAATGGGAAACGTTGTGCGACAAAACGCTAGGGTGTGAACAGTAGCCATAGAAATGAATGGGATTCCTTGTCTTGTGCATTGTCACGCTTAGGTTTGCATGACCAAATGTGTAGGTGTAAACGGAGCCTTATGGAGCTCCAGATAGCAGTAAAAACCCAATAGGAGACTCTTATCTTTCCCACTCTAAAACTAAGACAAATGTTTTGGCTAGATTTATAAATTAAGCACCACCTTAACAGTTTCTTTCGAGACAGATATAATGGAAATTTTACCTGTCAAAAAGTTCCCCTCCTGTAACCAGTTCTAGAATTAGCACAATGTCAGATGATGTCTCAAAGATTTCCTTGAGTTTAATCTAAAATAAGGACAATATTAGACAACTATTAGATACATGACTGTGACTAGTTGCATAGTTCACAACTCTCGTCGACAAACTAGATAAGTGCATAATTGAAACTGGTTTGTTTGGCTGTATCAGTTTTCAAAAATATATGTAATCTTTGCAAAACTGTTAGTAGGATTGTAAAAATAAATAGATCCTACAGGGAAACAGTAGTGTATTTTGACTAAACAGAAGGTTTGCGTTATTATGAAGTTTACCTACATTTCATTTTTTTCTTGACTACTATTTTATATACTTGCTCATATTTTGATGACTATATTTCTGTCACAGTTCAGCTGCAGACTTGCAGCTGAGCTGTTACTTCTAGTTCTTCAACTATATACATACCTCTTACCCCTGATTCTGCAGGCACGCAGGGCTGTGCTGGTGCTTGTAGTCCTCCAGGCATGTGCTCTGAACCTGACTCACTCTTGCACCTGTCTGCAAGCTTTAGGCATCGGCCGACCTCTCCTGCTGTTTTTTATGCAGCTTCTTGGCCAATCAGTGCTGTCTGCTTGTAGCCGATCCTGTGGATCCTCCCTCTTCCTTTCTCTATTTAAACCCAGGGCAGCGAACGGCACGCTGCCCGAGCAACGCTTTCCTAAGCTAGTTGCCGAGTCCCCTATTTGTGATTTACCCTGAATTCCTGCAAGTTTTCCCATTTACCGACTCTTTGGCTTGTACTTGGAAATCCCTGTCTACAGGCTGCCATGTGCTTCCCTTTTGTCCTTGGAAATCCCTGTCTACTGGCTGCCCTGTGCTTCACTTTTGTCCTTGGAAATCCCTGCCTACAGTCTATGCTGTGCTTCGCTTTGTCCCTGGAAGTCTTCAGCCTGTCCCTAACCTTTGATTTGTACCCTGTACCTGTTAGGTGAGTTGGGTTGACCTAAGGATTGGGACCTGGGGTCAGCACGCAGCCAAGCCCATCTCCACCTTCAGGAGCTCTGGTGAATACCAGCTGGCTCTTAGATTCCACATCCTGGGGAACCCCTGCCACCTACTCAGCATCCCATGCCACCTACTCAGCATTGCAGCACCCTGCCTTGTATTTGAACTTCCAGCTTTAGCTGACTTCCACTACCTCATTCAGTTCCCCTGCTTGCTCTGTTCCCCTGCTTGTACTCCAGCTCTGGGAGTTGTCAGCCTTCACTGCTTGGACCCTTTTCTCTGAGTGTCCCTGCCAGTGTAGTGGAAAGGGTCCACATACCTGACTCCAGTTCATACCTGTGAGTCCCAAACCATGACAATTTCATTCTGTAAGCATTCCCTACAATGGATAACCCAGGCGGTGCTGTGACCTTTGCTGCTAAAAAACAGCTTAGATAAAAAAGGCCACATAGACACCCTTTTTACAGTGACCTGGAATAAGTATACAGCTAGAGAAGTTGGAGCTTCCAAATTGCATACTTGAAATATGTCAGACTAATAAATAAGAGAAGCAAGTAGAAAAGTGATGGCCCAGACCTTACGTCTTTAGCAACTTCTGCTCTCATATCTGTACAGTATATCCCCTATGGAACAGAACAATTTTCACATTTCAGCTATGGGCCTATTGATTTTGCAATGACATTGTAAATACTTAAATTTCCTGCATTGTCTTGAAAAAATATTTTTATGGTACAAAGCTTGGCAAAGTTATTCACAAATGAAAAAAAGGCTTTGAGAAACAAATTTTAGGTATTATTTTTTATGGTGTTACAAAAATCAACTTTAACCACTTTGGACTTTGGGCATAGGAGATAACTCTTTTCTCCTCCTTTCCCCATAGCTAATATTTTTCTGTAATTTTCTTTTATTTATTTCTATTTTTTTATACTTTTTTTTTCATTTTGTTTGTTAATTTTTGCACAAAGCTTTTCATCTATTTCATCTGCAAGCTTTGCAACTTGCAATGCTTTACAAACATGTGCACATTTTACCTGTAATAACTGTACCTTTTTTAAAGATTGCAGAGAAAATAAAACAATTTTTAAAAGACAATATTCACAAATAAGACCCTAATTCAGTGTGAAAGCTGAAGTGGTGACAAAGGTGCAAAGGCCTAATAGAAGCCTTAGAGAGCCTGTCACCACTACTATGCTATCACATAGGGGCTTGTAAAAAAGTTTAAAAAAAATAAAGTTAACCCTGCATTATCCGGCATTCAAGCAACCAGCACTCTCAAGCAACCAGCAAAAAAAAAGAGGACATATGTTTATTTGCCGGTGGGCTGATGCACATTAAAAAATTGCCAGTTGCTTGGTGCACAGTAAGTTATACAATTTCATTAGCAACTACATTTATTTAGTTGCTAAATTTAAGCAACTAAATGAATTTAGTTGCTAACAAAAAATTTTGTTTACATCTTGCTGCCGGCAGCTAGATTCTGCTGTCAGCAGCAGAATGTAAACAATGGGGAGAAATAGCCCGCTTGCTATTGGCTATGAAACCCCGCCTACTGAGCAGAGGAGCGGACCTGAGAGAGAAAGTTCTCTTTCAGGTCCGCTCTCCTGCTTAGTGGGTGGGCACAATAGCCAGCCTGCTATTGGCCATTGCAATTTGTAATAGTCAATAGCAGGTTAGCTATTGAAGCCCCGCCCACCAAGCAGAGGAGTGGACCTGAGAGAGAACCTTCTGCCTATTGTTCCCGCCCGCTGAGCAAAAAGCATACCTGAGAGAGAACTTTCTCTCTCGGGTCCGCTCTTCTGCTCACTGGGTGGGGTTTCAATAGCCAGCCTGCTTTTGGCTATTGCAATTTGGAAAAGCCAATAGCAGTCTGGCTATTGCTCTTGGCTACTTACATTCACCTGTCAGCTGCAGAAGCTAGGGGAGGGTGTGGCGCCGCGGAAGGCAGTGGCGTAACCAGAGTTATTGGCGCCCGGGGCAGAAAATTTTTTTTCACCCCCCCCCATATTATATAAACATCCACTAGAACTGTACCCCCCACCCCCACACATATATATCAGCTAAGGAACTACAAGTCCAAGCATGCCATCATTGTCCCTGTACACCCCCCCACACACACA